TTGGAATGTATGACCACTCACACATTTTAACGTAATCCTGCCCAGTTTTACAGCGGTCCAGCATTCCAACACTTTGTCTGCTGCTATGTAAATGAAAGTAGGTATCAGCCCCGCGCCAATCTCCTGCACAGCAGTGCTGGAGTGTGAGAGGTAGAAGCCGGACAAGGAGCCAATCAGTCCATGTGCTGGCATGAAGCAAGCTAATAGGAGGAGAGCGCAGAGTGACAGAGAGATGAATTAATCGCGGTGCAGCTTCTCCTTTCATTGCCCAGTCACAGGCTGGTTAAGGAGGAGCTGGTCTCAGAGGAAGTGGGTTGAATGAAGCTGGTCCTCAGACTGAGGACATCTAGTGGTAGAAAAGAAGTACTGCGCTGGAGAGCTCTGGATTGAAGGTGAATATTTTTTCAGTTTAGGGCTTTTCATCTCAATCGTGTTAGTTTTCGCTGCCAACGACACATGCTGTACTTCAATGGCAGCGGGCCCGTGTACACAGACTTAAATGTTGGCTTTACACTGGAAGTGATTCTGGCGGCTGAGAGGCTTACTTCCAGGGGTCGGTAAACCCTCATTTCCATTATTATTTCTTAACTCCGTGTGTCTTACCCAACAGGGGTTTCTGATTCAGTTAACTTTAAAACCTGGTTTAACGCTTTAGTGGCCAGCGCCGGATCCCTTACCCCGCTGGCTTTGGGCCCCTGTAAACAGATGTCTGCTGGGACTCTCGAATGTCGGCTTTATACAGGAAGCAATTCTGGCAGCTGAGCTGCTCCCAGATTGATTCCAGGGGCCAGCAAACAGGGCTCATCTTTTACATCACCAAGTGCAATGCAAAGCGTGGGATGCCGTGGTGTAAAGCACGCCACCACTGGACTCTAGAGAAGTGGAGACGTGTTCTCTGGAGTGACCAATCACGCTTCTCTGTCTGGCAATCCGATGGACGTGTCTGGGTTTGGCGGTTGCCAGGAGAACGGTACTTGCCTGACTGCATTGTGCCAAGTGTAAAGTTTGGTGGAGGGGGGATTATGGTGTGGGGTTGTTTTTCAGGGGTTGAGCTTGGCCCCTTATTTCCAGTGAAGGGAACTCTTAAGGCATCAGCACACCAAGACATTTTGGACAATTTCATGCTCCCAACTTTGTGGGAACAGTTTGGGGATGGCCCCTTCCTGTTCCAACATGACTGCGCACCAGTGCACAAAGCAAGGTCCATAAAGACATGGATGGGGGAGTTTGGGGTGGAGGAACTTGACTGGCCTGCACAGAGTCCTGACCTCAACCCCATAGAACACCTTTGGGATGAATTAGAGCGGAGACTGCGAGCCCGGCCTTCTTGTCCAACATAGGTACCTAACCTCACAAATGGTCCAACATTCCCATGGACACCCTCCTAAACCTTGTGGATGCCTTCCTAGAAGAGTTGAAGCTGTTATAGCTGCAAAGGGCGGGCCAACTCAATACTGAACCATAAGGACTAAAGGTGCCCATACACTAAGATTCTCGTACGAGAATTGCAGGAAATCCCGCGATCGTACGATAATCGTACAGTGTATGGAAGGCGTGCGACTGTTTGTACTGTACGGTCGAACAAGCCGGCTTGAAAACCCGCCGAGAATCGTACAATTCTCGGCGGGTTAATCGCTTGCTTATTCGACAACTGCCGAACGGGCCGGTGTGCGCACCAGCACACTCCCCGTTTGCAGTGATCGGAAGCCCTCTCCTCACTGCGGTCATCGGAAGCCCGGCCCTAAGCGGGGCAGGGTATCGATGATCGCAAGTACGATCTGCCTGTCCAGGATGGGCAGATCGTACAAGCTTTTAATAAGCTTACGACCATCGCAAGACAAAAGTGTTGCGATGGTCGTAAGGTGTATGGGCACCTTAAGACTGGGATGCCATTAAAGTTCATGCGCGTGTTAAGGCCGGCGTCCCAATACTTTTGGCAATATAGTGTATGTCTATTCTACATAAACATGTACAGATGTCCTGCTGCACTACTTCCCGGATATCCCAAAAAACAAGATGGGTGCTTTAAGTGACCGCGGATGGCGCCGCTTGGATCTGAACCTGATGGTAATTGTCACCAGCACACCAAAATAAATGTTATTTCGGTGTGCTGGTAACATTACAATCAAGTCCTACATCAACATGACACAGACCTGAAAGCTATCAATGTATGTAAAAATACTCCAAATATGAGCTCACACGTCTTACACACTGTGCCAATGAGCACAATACCAGGGTTTAATGAGGCGTATACAATTTCACTACTACAATGTGTAATAAATCTAAAGGAACCTCCCTGCTGTGAATTACGCCGTGTGTTATATTCTTTTATGAAATGAAGTTGCAACACTCTTCTCATGGATATGTTGAGTTTGCATGTGGCCATAAACCCTTTCGCTGCCAAGACAGTTTTTTTTTGTGCACACAGGTTATAATCCACATTTTAATCCTGAAAATTACTGAAAGCTCCCCAAGATGTGTATATATATTCTGGAAGCACAGGCCCTGTAGAATAACATGGTGGTAGTTGCAAATTTCTACGTTGCATGAAATTAGCGCAACTCTTGATGAAGCCCAAAATTTCATGTGTAGCCCAGTTGCCGTTTTCCTACATAGGTGCACCCGACGTTTGTATTTACATTAGTATGTGAGCGCTTGCAGGGGCCTTTGACATTTTTCTTTGGTATGTTTAAATTAATTTTATTTAACTTTATTCTTTTTAACTTCATTGCTATCACATAGGGGGCTTACAAGCCCTATGTGATAGCATATTCATAGTTACAGGTTCTCTTTAAGGTGACATTAGGGGTCTATTAGACCCCAAGTGTCACCTTTCCACTTCAAAGAAGCTATTCAAGAGCAGATCATGTTTGAACAGGTTCTTCTCCGGCTTCTCTAGTCGAGGAATGACAGATGAGGAGCCGCAAGTGCACATTCAGCTCCATTCAGCGGGGAAGAGATCGGAAAATGGATGTTCGCTGGTCTCTCTCCCCGTTTTCAAGTGATGCCAGTCCCAGGCCCGCAGGAGGTGGCAGCGGAGCCCGGGAAGCAAGGCAGGGGTGGCGAGCAGGGAGGACCCAGTTTCCAGTGTAAAGCTGGCAGTTGGCTTTACACAGGTAAACAGAGTCTCGGCTAAAGCTGCCAGGACTCAAGTTCACAGGGGCCGGAAGCCAGAGCCGTAAGGGATACGGCAATGTCGGCGAAAGGGTTAAACCAGGTGGCGCTTAGGGGGATGCCTTAAAGCTGTACGTAATGTTAAAGGGGTTCGAAACCTTCCCATTTTTTTGCCTATATCTACTGCTATCAAGCAGTAGATATAGGCAAACAGTTTAAAAAAAACCCACTAAAACAGCGGTTTAAACTTAGCTTGTTTTCGCTGCGCGCTCTCGCGCCAAGAATTAGGAACTGCTCGTACGGCCGCAAAGGATCTTAGGGCGGGTGCATGCGCAGTTCCGATTCTCGAATGGGAGACGAGCAGAGACGCAAGGTAAGTCTATGGACGCGTGCATGCGCCTGCAGACACCGCTGGATCGGAAGTGCCTGCAAGCAGAGAGGTGTCAGCGCTGGATCTGAGAGCCGCCGCACCGCTGGAGGGACAGATGAAAATATCAGGAAAGAAGATCGGAATAAAAGACATCATTGAAAGTAAGTGCTAACATTAACATGGGGGGGGGAGGGAAATTTTTTTTTGACTTTAATGTCACTTTAAGAAACAGTACGATTTTCAGGGACAGTTTCAGCAACAGCATACACTGGCACTGCATGGTCGGTTGTGGAATTCTTTCCTTTTACAATTAGCTTGCATACAGCAGCAGCTGCACCTGCACCCCAATCCCATTTTTTTCAGATAGTTGTAGCAGCTGCACATGTTCTTACATCAAGCAGTAAAGCTTCGCATACACCTGACGATTATCGTACGATAATCCGATAATCGTAAGGTGTATGGGCAGCGTGCGACCGCATATACTGTACGGTCGCACGACTTTCGTATTACGAGCAGGAAGGTGTTTTACTACAAAAATCAAGAGACTGAAAATGATACAAAAAAGTGTACATTTTGACAAGAGCAGGACAGATTTTATGAGCAAGGCTAGGCCCAAATTTACTGGAGACAAAAGAGCACAGGCTGGGTTTTTACTACAAGAATTAAAATGCTGCAGAAGATACAGTGTAAAATTGATCAGCAGCAGGACAGTTTTAACCAGAGATAATAGGCCCAGCCGATGTAAGCTTAACTTTTATTTTTACTATGGGGATGAGGTGTGGTGAATGTGAGTGATATGATGTGAGGTGGTTTAGTTGCACACAGTTCTTGCACTTAGTTTTCTTTTTTATTTAAAATTATGCAGCTGCTTGCTGCCAGGGTCGGATTTCCCACAAGGACAACCAAGGCCCAGCCTTGGGACAGCAGGGAGTAGAGGGGAAGCATGGGTGTGTAATTCCTATCTCCCGACAACCGGGACATGCAGTTCTGGGCGCCGGGTGGGTAGTTGTTTTCTACATTTAGCCCTGCTTTGGGCATGCAGGGCTAAATGTACAACGGGGAAGCCGCCGATTGTTTTGTACAAGTGATCTTGGCAATGGGGCAGCAGAGAGAGTACACCCGGCCCTGCTCGCTGCAAACTAATGCAGCAAGAATAAATGGTCAGTGACAAATGAATGGAAGACAAAAAAGACCCACAATAACAAGAACACAAAAACTGACCCTAATCTCTCCCTATGCAGCATGTCAAGTTCCCCTATTCTTTCTCTACTATAGCTGCCAATACACTCACACTATGGCTGCTCTGTGCCCATACTCCCCCCCCCCCCCCATTATAGTGAGTGAGCTGGGACATCCAAAAGTCCCCTTATTGGCCCTTCTCAGCTAGCTAGCCATATATTGAAGGCCATGCTGTACTTTATGGCTTTAAAAACATGATCCTGGCAGAACCTAAACATAAATTTAACGGGACCACAGATGTTGGATACACAGGACTCACCTCAAATCAATGTTAGCGATGTACCTGATCTTCATCCCTAGCCACCCTGGAGGCTGCACTATCATGATGACCTTTGCTCACAGTACTCCTGGAAAGAACGTGGGCACACGTCATTATGTAAGCATCACGCTGTCTGGGAGTAAGGACCCATGACATCACATGACCTGTCAGAAGAAGGTAGGATTTAAGGTATGTATAGAAGGATTTTTAAAAAATAATAAACGGGGGGTTTAGAAATGAAAAAAGGGAGGGGTCTTAAAATCTATTTTTGTGCTTTAACCCTGTCTTCTATATTACAACATTCTTAAAAAAAACATACATTTCAGAAAAGCAATACATTGCCTTTTGGTGTAAACCATAAAAAAAGCCTCAGCCATGTGACTCAAGCCACTACAATTTAAAGAGACCCCGTCACTATAACAGGCAAAGTCTAATAAATGCTATAAAAAGTGAATAAACATAAAAAATGGCGATACACCTCAACTGCCGATAAAGCCTTATACAGCAAGTCACATTTGTAATAAAAATAGAAGAGTCTTGTTCTTATGAGCTTACAATATTTTTTATTTATTTTTTACAGAAGTTCCAGTGGCATCCAGTACAATGGGACGGCGCTGCATTATGAGGATTTGTCTTTCCCTCATGCTTATGTTGATATTTGCATCTGGATACATGTACTTCTTTGAAAAGCAGAAATGGCAGGTGGAGAGACTGATGTTGCTTCAGGGACAGTTAGGTGACAAGGAAACCTCACGCCCTGTCAACAATCTGACTTATCCAGTCTTCCGCCACCCTCTGGCCCCCCCTTATCCATACCCATACAAATTCCTCATCAACCAGGAAGATAAATGCAAAGGCAGGAACCCCTTTCTAGTCTTACTGGTGATCGGTGCAACTAGGGATTTGGAGACAAGGCACGCCATTCGAGAAACCTGGGGCAATGACAGTAATTATGATGTTGATGTGGTGACGATTTTTTTGCTTGGTCTTTCAAACATTGCTACAGACAGATTCCAGCAGATGCTGGAGGAGGAAAGTGAAGCCTTTGGGGATATCGTCCAACAAGACTTCATGGACACTTACTATAACCTTACTTTAAAATCCTTGATGGGCATGGAATGGGTTGCGAAATTCTGCCCCACCGCCAGCTACGTGGTGAAAATTGATAATGACATGTTCCTCAATGTAGACTACCTGGTTCACCAGCTTCTTCGACCAGAGCTTCCAGTCCGTACCAACTATTTCACTGGGTATATAGTGATAAATACAGGACCACTGAGGGGTGAAAAATACAAATGGTATGTCCCTAAGGAAATCTACCCCAATGATACCTACCCACCCTACGCCTCTGGACCTGGCTATGTATTTTCTGCTGACATGGCAAAAAAAATCTATGATATCTCACAGCAGATTAGAGTTATCCCCATGGAAGACTCCTTTATGGGAATTTGTCTTTTTGAGCTCAAAATCCGCCCCACCGTGCCCCCGGGAAATATATTTAATGGCCACCGGATAGATTATGATCGTTGTCGATTTAACAAGCTTGTTACAGTTCACCATTATGGGAGTGCTGAGCTGAGGACGGTATGGACTGATTTTTGGACTAAGAAATCTTCAGGGTGTTGATAAAAGGCACACAGACATTTTACAACACATTAACATGAGTTCCGGATTATCTTTACTGGGCCCTGTAGACGCACAATGCTTGACCTATGTAGAACCTAACGGTTAGGATCATCTAATAAAAAAGCTTTATTCTTACTTTTCGGGGGGGGCGGGGGGGTGTTAAATCTTTTCCTTCTTGAAGAGCTCTTGGCACGGCTGCTATCCAGCATTTCTGGGTGTGTCAAATGTGTCATACCCGTAGGTGCCGGATAGAATCGGTGCCCGGAGTTTTTCAAAAGAGGGCCAAGACCTCATTCACCACCCGCCAGAAAAGTAATCATAAACTTTAACAGGTTAAATCTCTTTCTATTTTTTTTTTTTTTCAGCAAAACAACAAGGTGACTGTAAAATCGTACATTTTCCTCTTTTCTTTTGTCCAAACTTGGTTTTGAATATTGTTAGAATATGTAAATAACCTTATGAAATAATTATTTATACACTGGAAACCTACCTCTTTGCCAGTAATGTCTTTACAGGATGTGCCTACTGTGCCTAAATGATTAATACAGATGTGGATAAGTTATGGAAAATAAAACATATTTTATATAACATTTTGTTGTTTATGTAATTTATACCAGTATACTCATAAGATGAAAGCAGGGTCTCAGACTCTGCATGGCCCCTGTTGAAACACCTACCTAACTATACACACAGTATATACAAAACAGAGGATAAGAGGAAATCAGGTACAGCAGGGCCAGGCAGGATGGTACAAGGAGCAGCAGGTAAAACTGGTCAGAAATACAGCCAGGTATATGAGGAGCAGGTATTGCAGCAGGATCAGGAGGTTCACAGGGAGCAGGTACAGGTAACAGAATCAGGCTCAGGATTACAGATTTCCGGGAACAGCAAGAAGAGTCAGAGGGCTTCCTGAATAGGAGCTAAGCACCCACTGGTGGACACTGGAACTACATGCTTTAGGTCCAAAGACCACATTGCCACCAACAAGTGCTCTGCTTCCTGACTCCTTAAGGAGTGGACTCGGGAAACTCCAACAAACTCTGGTTAACAAAGTCCTTACAACTTCATCGCGCTGTAGCATACCAAAATCTACAAAACAAAATATTCTTCAAAAGAGATTCACATGATAAAATTAATACACGAAATTTCAGTTCTCCACAATAGTTGATGTAAGTCTCTTGGGATCAGTGACAGGTTAAGTGTCCCGCAGCTAGGGTCAAGCCTTAAACATAGTGCCGCACTGCTGGGGTCTGATGCCAGATTGGATGCCCCACTGACATGGTCTGGCAACAAGGTGAGTGCCCCTATCACTGGGGTCTGGTAGCAGGCTAGATGACCCTTTGCCAGGGTCTGGTGACAAGCTGAGCACCCAATGCACTCTTAAGTCCTTCAAGGCAGCCGATATCCCAAACCTGGGGTACTGTGGATCATTCAACAATACAGACACCCTGGTGCCAGGGTGCTTCAACTTGTATGAACATACTACCTCTGGGTAGCTTGCTTGGTTGCAAGAACCTACACCGCATGTTGACAGCCACTGGTTGCCCATCCCAGGTTTCCCAACATTCCTTGAGTCGAAGTGATACCATCTGGGTCCCAGAGAAGCTCATATGCTCATAATGCTTATGTTCCTCACAGGATCACTACTACTAGGGCTGTCATTGTGCACATAACTACCATTTTTAAAGTATGTTGCTTTGGCTCAACAGGAACAGCAGGCTGCAGACGGAACTCAGGCAAGTGGCCACCAAAAGGGCCTCAGGCCAGATAGGCAACCAACGCCAGTGGAGTTGTAGGAATAGAACCCTAGTTGTACTGACGCTCGGCGAGGTAAGTAAGAAGGAAAAAAAAAACATAGCGCAAGCTTTGGTCCTAGGCTTGGGGGCATTTTGACAAGTACAAGTACTTGTCAAAATGCCCTGTATCGGGCCCGATTCCGATGCTAGCATAGGTATCGGGACATCACTAATAAGAATACTTATATTGTGCCTACAAGTTTAATACCTTTGAATGAAAGTTTTATTTTTATCATACTTTTTAATATGTTTCTTTGCGGCTTAACAAAATAGGAGTCTTTAAATGGTGCGGATATTGGGGGAAATGGGTGTGGTTACGGGGGTGTGGCCACTGAGGGGCGCTGTAAAGCTTTCTCGCACAGGGCGCCTAAAGGCCTAAGGCCGGCCCTGGTTGTACCAGACCCACCAGCTGGTGGAAGCTCAGCTTTAACACAGGCTTCCACTTGGCTGAATAGGTAAATCTGTCCCAAGGATGGAAGGAACTTCTTAGAAAGATGTTAATGTACTACCGGTATTGCAGTGGAGAAAGATTTGGGTACTGAAAGTCCTAAATATGAAGTGACAGCTGCCAGGACAAGAGTGGCTGGCTCAGGATTAGGCTGACCAAGAGCAGCTGGCTCAGGAACAGGCTGAGATGAATAGGCTGGCTCAGGAACAGGCTAAGATGAATCGGCTGGCCCAGGAACAGGTTGAGATGAATAGGATGGCCCAGGAACAAGCTGAGATAAATCGGCTGGCATAGGAAAAGTCTGGGTTGGGGTGGTTGGCTCAAGAACAGGCTGGGCTGAAGCATCTGGCACAGGAACAAGCTGGGGTAAACACTCTGGTCATAACTATATATATATATAGTTGCCAGATTATTATGACCACCCCATCAGTACTTTCCCCAATTTTGAGCCCTGCTTTAACAACAGCTGCTCTTGAACATTTAACAATGTTTTGCTGATACTCGCTCCATGGCTCCGAGCGCCAACAATCATCCCCCGTTCAAAGGCTGTCAAATCGCGTTGTTTAACCATATCTTCATAAAAAATCACTTCTACTGTCGTGGTAAACAACCTGCTTCCCTATTTATAATGGTCTGGCCCTCTAGCAACTACAGCGCAAAATTATAGCTAATTTGCCTACAAACGTAAGGCGATCATAATAGTGTATATCTATATAGAGATATCTCTCTCTCTCTCTCTCTCTCTCTCTCTCTCTCTCTCTCTCTCTCTCTCTCTCTCTCTATATATATAGTATATTTCTGTTTGAGAAGTGAAGACTACTCTTCGGCTGATTCATCTGCCCTCCCAGAACATTTTCAGCAATTCAATTAAAGAATTAACGTTGAATTTCCTCCCTTTCCAATGCAAAGGGACACTGTCATACTGGAACTGTTGCCACAAGGTTGGTATGACATAATTGTCTTTGTACGCTGTAACATGAACAATACTGTACCCTTCATTGGACAAACCTGAACTGAATAATGTGGAGACGATTCTACATACTTTGGGCCGTAAAGAAAGTGAGACTTTCAGCAACTAAATGGCCCCCAAAAAATCAACACCTTCCTGTACCTTCCTGGCTTGCACATTTTTGGTAGAATATTTTCTTACGATAAAATGACAAAGAGGTGAATTAGCTCATCTATCTAAGTGAATTTATCCTAATGCCTTGATCCAGTTCTGGCCGGTAACTAAACGCTCAGTGGGTGTAATTATCAGTCTTGCCCTGCAAACAATTTTCTTCTGCTGACCACCAATCTATTTAGATACATTTCTTGTTACTGACCACTAATGCAGTAGAGGGGAAAGTTTTCAAGGGCCACCAATGTAAAGCAGTGACGTGCCATGCCTTCTGTGCTGGGTGAGGCATCCCCCAGCACACCGAAGCTCCGCCCTATCCCACCGAGGCCCCGCCCCAGCTCGGTAACCAAGCTGTGTGGGGAGGAGGAGATAGGGAGGAGCCTCCCTGTCCCTCAATTGCTCATCACTGGTGAGGCGTCGAGATCGATGTACTCACTGTTTTTTTTTCTACTTTTTTTTTGATTGGACAGCTTGGACCAACGATGCTTTGCCATTGGTCCTAGCCATCCGGAGAGCTCACGTCTCTACCACAGAGTAGAGGCTGCGACAGCTCTTGCATCACCAAGTTAGGGTTCACAAGCAGTGGGGAAGCCCGCTGCTGTGTAGCCTACCTACATGTCAAAAGCTGGATGCAGCGCTCCCTGTAATTAACAGGCAGCGCTCCATCCATGACAGGTTACACAGCGTGAGGATATCCCTGCTCTGTAACCTGTTACAAGCCGATCTGAATGGACCTGTTACAAGCCGATCTGAATTTTCCTCCATAATACTAGGTGAGGCTCTGCCTCACCTGCCTCCGCTGACCGCATGTCCCTGATGTAAAGGCGACCTTCCCACTGCCTGATAATGTAAAGAAGACCTTTGTGCTGACTGCCATTGTAAAGGTCACCCGTCTGCTAATTGTCGATGTAAAGGTGAGCTTTCCGTTAACTATCCATGTAAATAGCTCACTTGCACTGACAGCAATTAAAACAATGTATTTACACTAACTGTCAAGAGGCCATTCTTGAATGTAAAAGGGACATTTTCCTCTGTGCCCATGAAAATAAAGGGGACATTTTCCACTGAGTGCCAATATAAAGAGGAGCATTACACTGATCAATAATGTAAAGATAGTCTTTGCAATATAAAGGGGACATACAATACCACTAAACTCCATTTGGATAAGGCTCCTAAGGCTCACTGCCCACTAAGGTAAAAAGGTGTATTATTAGGATTATAGCCAATGCTGCTACCTATGGTGAAAGGGGCTATTACTGGGGGTGCAATTAGACCAATAGCCATCATTGGCAACAGGGATAACCAGCAGGGGTGCCACTGTCCACTATACAAAATGTTGAGAAAGGTTGTCTGGAGGCTGCAGTAGAATTTTGCTGTGGGGTCCAGTGATTTCTAGTTAAACCCCTGGGCTGGAACATGTCAATGTAATACAGTGTTACCAAATATTTTAAAGAGAGGGCTAGTTCGTTGTCTATCACACTGTTTTGGGGCTGGATTATGATTAGTAGGAGCAAAAAAATGCACATTCGGAGGTCATAGCCCAATGTTGGTGGTTAGTAAAAGATAAAATGCCCGTGTCAGTGGGAGTAGCACATGCCCTGGTGTAGGTGGCCATTAAATGTACAAAATGCCCCGC